TTTTTTACTGGAACATTTCCACATTAAAGAATATCAGTGTTCCAGAAAGTTCTAGAGCTGAACAAATCAGTTTTTAAAGTATTCTTGTTTGTCTTTCAAATATTTGAAGTGCAATTATAGAGCCTTCAAATTCTATCTTTGCAAGATAGAATTTTTAACATTGAAAAATTATTGATCTGATAAATGAGGGTAAGTCTCACATATTTATTTTTCTTTGTTCTCCAGAGTTATATGGTGTTTCTGTTTCAAAGCCTTGCATTCTGACAAATTGCTAATAGTTTACTTGTTTTATTAAAGGACTCTAGGGAGTCATAAAAAGAGCATTACAGATCAAAATCCCAAGGTAGGGACTTCCCTGGTGGTGCAGTGATTAAGAATCCGCCTGCCAATGCAGGGGAAACGGGTTTGGGCCCTGGTCCAGGAAGGTCCCACATGCTGTGGAGCAACTATGCCCGGTGCCACAACTACTGAAGCCCGCACGCCTAGAGCCTGTGCTCGGCAACAAGAGAAGCCACCGCAATGAGAAGCCCGCACACCGCAACGAAGAGTAGCCCCCGCTCACCACAACTAGAGAAAGCCCGCACACAGCAATGAAGACCCAACGCGGCCAAAAATTAATTAATTAATAATAAAAATAAAAATCCCAAGGTAATACACTCTTATTTTCCATTTTACCCTGTGTTCCATTATTTTCTCCTGTTCTTATTTGAATGAATGGGTCACACACAAAATAGAGGCTTGTATGCTTGATATGATTACTTATAGTACTGTAGTCTTGTCAGAATTTGTGGGAAGAAGTTTGACTAAACAACTATTAATCCTATTGTTTTATTATACTTTGTAAAAGAAGACACTCTAGGTTCATAAAATCAATTTAAAAAAAAACAAGGTAATAACTGCTTTACTTGGTGTTATGTGTTTAAAAACATTACAATCTTTCTCTAAATTTCTGCATTTATTAACACAGGTTATGGTGGAATAGGGTGAAAAGGAAATAGAACGATGTAGCATGAAATATTCTCAGATCCCTGTTACTTTTACATTTGTTCTCCCATCTTCATTCACTGCCTCTCAATAGCCAAATTAAGCAGTAATAAAAAAATTGCTTTGATATTGTGTCTATCTACAAATATAATTCTGTGTAACTTCCATAAACTTGTTTTTAAGAGGAAGCAGAATAGCCCAATGATCAAGGTTTGGGGGCCAGATCCCTTTGAGTTGGAATTTAGCTCAGCTATTTTCCAGCTGTGTCTTTGACAAGTCCCTTACTCTCTCTAAACCTTGGATTTTTTGTGCATACAATAGGGATGCCTACTGTGATGGCTAATTTCTGTGTCAACTTGGCTGGGCCACAGGATGCCCAGACATTTGTCAAACATTATTCTGGGTATGTCTGTGACGGTGTTTCTGGATGATATTAACATTTGAATAGGTAGACAGAGTAAAGCGAATTTCACCCCTTCATGTGGGTAGGACTCATCCAATCAAGTGAATACCTGAATAGAACAAAAAGTCTGTAACCTTTTCTTTCTTGTAACTGGTATCATGAACATTTCCTCATATTATTAACCACCTTTCTACTTTCTGTTTTTGTGACTTTGACTACTCTAGGTACTTCATGCGAGTAGAATGATATATAATTTGTTCTTTCGTGACTTTTTAAAATTTTTCATTTAGCATAATGTTCTCAAGTTTCATCCATGTTGTAGCATGTGATATTCCGTTGTAGGTATACACCACAATTTCTTTATCCAGTCATCTGTCAGTGGATACGTGTGTTGCTTCCACTTCTTGGATATTGTGAATATTGCTGTGATGAACATGGGGTGTACAAATATCTCTTCGAGTCCTGCTTTGAGTTCTTTCGGATGACGTTATATTTTTAATGTGCTTTTATTCCCTCTCTCACCTGGCCATCCCACTTGGCCCTCTTCTAGATTTGTTTTCTTTGTCTAAACACAAGCATTGCAATTGAATGCAGTCAGGGCCATAGATTCCAGTGAAATATATCCCTGAGGGACCTCAGAATGCAAACCTGGGCACCAAGCAGCTGGAAACACACAATGACAGGAAAGGATAAACCAATGTGTGCAACAATGTAAAATGAGATACTTACTTTGTGTGAAGAGTGAAGCTACTTAGATGAGCTCGTTTATCTCCCCTCCACTGTAAAGGTTTCTTCTCCTTAATTTCGTCTCAGTCACAGGAGAAAATGCCTTTAGACTTAGCCAATCTTCTTATGATCATACGGCACTCAAATCCACACCCAGCTCCTCCCTTCTCCTGGCTCCACTACTGGAGGGTGGAAATAATAACAAACCCTCACTGAGTACTTATTACATTCAGGCATTGTCCAAGCTCTTTCATATGTTAACTCACTTAATACAAAAGCCCATGAGAAGCCCAAATTTTTATCTACGTTTTACCAATAAAGAACTGAGGCACAGAGAAATTAAATAACTTGTCCAAGGTACAAGTGGGAGCTGGGATATTCAAGTATATAAAGATATAGCAATAGGTACACAGAAAATTAAGCAAGTTAAAAAAGTACACTTAACTCCAGAAAAAACAAAGTTCCAAAGCAAAGGAATGTAATCATATCCACTATTTAGTTCATCTATGAATAATATTTTCATAATAATAATGAATACTACTGATTTAACAAAAATTGTGATAGAACTAGATTGTGAGGACAGGAGGAGGAGAGATATAGGATAATGAGTGGGTGGTTTGAGACCACAGAATTTTCATCTTTCATGGTACAAAGTCAATAGGTGATTCTGAAATTGGTATATGAAGAAATAGCAATGTAAGAATATTTTTGGAAACATAAAACGAAACCGTTAAAATAGTTGTTGTGTCATTTTCTCAGATGCAGATAACAGAATTCTCCCTAGCAAGTTTAAGGAAGGGATATTAGTTCACAAAACAACTCCTGGAGCTACATTACAGAACTGGCCTAGAAAGGGTGCTGCTGAGGCTGTCTCCAGAGCTAGCTGTGTCTACTGTGGTCAGGAAACTCTTGCTGCCAAAACTGAGCCCTGAATATATTGTCTGCTGTACGCATACCAGCAAAAATGGACTGCAGTCACCCAGCCTCCTTCCTCACATTCTTTGCGTCTAAATCAAAGTATATGATTAACAGAACCTCAGTCACATTCCCTAATCCAGTAACAAGGGAGACTGGGATTTTTTCCCTTAATTCTATCTTGGTAAAGTGGGATTCACAATGAGGGGGTTATCAAACTATGGAGAGGTGTTCGCAAGATTTGGGGCAGCCATGAATGACAGATATTCACTATACACGCCTTATCTCTTCTTTCTCTCTAATCCCCTATTGTCCTCAAATCACTAAAACTGTAATCTCCTTCATAAATAGCTCATAAATCTGTTCACTTTTCCCCACTCTCCCTGCCATTTCTCTAGTGTAGATCACTTTAACAAGTTCTCAACTGGTCTCCCTTCTGGCAGTGTTGACTCTTAGATCTGAGTATGGAAAATAAGAGGCTAGATAAGAGAAGGAGAGAGAAGCTTTGAAATTTATGGGTTTTCTATAAACATTGTCAAACTAAAATTTAATTGTAGACAATGCCAAAGGCAGAAATAAATCTAAATTGTTTCCACAGGGACAATTTAGTCTTTGTTTGTTTGTTTGTTTTTGCGGTACACGGGCCTTTCACTGTTGTGGCCTCTCCCGTTGTGGAGCACAGGCTCCAGACGCGCAGGCTCAGCGGCCAAGGCTCACGGGCCCAGCTGTTCCGAGGCATGTGGGATCTTCCCGGACCAGGGCACGAACCCGTGTCCCCTGCATCGGCAGGCGGACTCTCAACCACTGCACCACCAGGGAAGCCCTAGTCCTCTTTTAAATGGAAACAAAACTCCTCCCTGAACTTCAGTGTTGACTTATGAACATATTCAAGGCAGCCACATGGGGGATGGTGCAAACTCTCTGGACTGGGAGACTAGAGCTTAGGTTCTGTGATCTTCTTTACTCTTTCTGTAATCTTGAGCAACCTCTCTGAGCTTATTCACTATAGAAGCATTAGAGAATTTCTATGGAATAATCAGGCATTTAAAAGCACTGAGGTTGTTGGAAGTGTCCAAGTGACTAAACAAATGATGACCAACCTACACACCAAAATGCTATGTAGGCATTAAAAAGAAGGATGTAACTCTAAATATGCTAATGTAAAACAATTTTCAAGATATTCTGAGTAAGAAAACATGGTATAGAACAATGTATATAGTATGCTACCATTTGTGTGTGTGTGCATACCAGCATGTGTGTGCGCTTTTAAAGAATATAGACATATTCATGCTTGTAAATTCACAGACCATCATTGGAAGGGTGCACAAGTAACTGTCAATAGTGGTTGCCTTCAGAGAAGAGAACTTAATGGCTGGAGGTGAGAAGTGTTCATCATCTTTTGAATTTTGTTCCATGTTCATATATTACCAACTCAAAAAATAAATACATGTATTTTTAAAGAACTTGGAATTAACTCCTATTTTTGAAGTCTGAAGAGATGAGAATTAAGAGATAATAAATCTGAAACTTGGGTGCAGCAGAAGCTTGGGGCTCATCTGTTACCTGAATTTCTCCACACCTTCATTTTTCTTTTTTTCTGAAGCAGTTGAAACTTTAAATATTTAAATATCTATGGCTTACTAGGTAGGGTTTTTGTTATGCCATACATCTGTGTATTTCTCAATTTCTTTGCTTGGAACAGATTCATTAAATTCTATTAAATACTCAAAAGGTATAAATCATGAAAAGTGGAAGGACTTTCAATAGGAATCATTTTTCAGGAGCTTAGAAATAGTTACGCCTAATCGTTTTATAATACCTGCAGTGCAGCATTTTGCAGTGTACGGAATGCACTCACATACTTTATCAGCTGATCCTTTGTGCAGAAGCTCCATGTGATTTTTGCTATTCTCAGCTTTGACCATGAACTAAAATTAGAACTAGGCTGACATTACATTTCACTTGGTTACAGTCTGACTGAGGATTTTAATCATTCGGAGTCACACTGAAAACAATTCTCCCAGCAATCCACTCCTACTGATGCACTAACTTTGGGCATGTCAGCGTTTGCATCTACCGACTGTGGTAAGTATTTTTCAAAAACATTTTTTCCCACTCTTGACATATAAATAAATTGCTGTTGATGTTTATACTGTGTCAGTATTTGCTGGAATGTACAACTAAAATTGGAATTGAATTTAAAAGTCTCTTGGAGGTTCATAGTCATTCATGTAGTTGTCCTCCTCAGGAAGATTGATTTCCCCAGAAGTCAAGAAGTATTTCTTCTGAGATTGTATTTCTTTTGTTTTCTTTTGACTCTGGGAAGCTGACTCCTGAGTCATGTCACAGCCATGCCTACTTCACTGCCACGCGATGTGCTTTTCTGTTGTGGTAATCAAGGTAGAGAACACAATCCCATGCTGAAGGCAGACACACATATCACTACTGACTTGTTTTCCTCAAAGGGGCATTGGTCGCTATTACAGAAAAACAGATGGTTGACCAAAGTTTAATGGCAAGCGAGGACATGAATGAGCACATGAATAGTTACATATGTCCAGTAAAATACACATTTACATGTAGATACTTGAGATTTTAAACTTTATTATTTGATAAATAACTACTTCAAACCTGCTTACATCTGAGATAATAAATTGTAACTGGACAGGGGGTTGGATTATTAGCATAAATATCCCAAGGTTTCTTGATGGCAAAAAGATCTTGCAGATCTGTTCCTGTTTAAATTCCACATGCATTGCTTAAAATAAGGACCTCTTCCTAATAATTTTCTGCATATTGGCACTTATACATTCATCCTGAAACATTAAACTTTTTCCCTCTGTAATATCAACACATTTTTCTCCCTCTCTCTGTCTCTGTCCTTCTCTCACACACACACTGCATACTTTTAGTTTAAAGAAATCAGTAATTTAGAGATTAATAATGAAAAGCAATATTATCCACCCCATTTCTATTACCCTAGAAGTAACCATTTTTTAAAATAGATCTTTATTGGAGTATAATTGCTTCACAATACTGTGTTAGTTTCTGTTGCACAACAAAGCGACTCAGCCATATGCATACACGTGTCTCCATATCCCCTCCCTCTTGAGTCTCCGTCACCTCCTCTCTATTCTACCCCTCTAGGTCATCGCAGAGCACAGAGCCGATCTCCCTGTGCTACGCTGCTGCTTCCCACCAGCCGACTATTTTACATTCAGTAGTGTATATATGTCGATGCTACTCTCACTTTGCCCCAGCTTTACCCTCCCACCCCGTGTCCTCAAGTCCATTTTCTATGTCTGCCTCTTTATTCCTGTCCTGCCCCTAGGTTCATCAGTACCTTTTTTTTTTTAATTCCATATATATGTGTTAGCATACGGTATTTGTCTTTCTCTTTCTGACTTACTTCACTCTGTATGACAGACTCTAGGTCCATCCACCTCACTACAAATACCTCAATTTCGTTTCTTTTTATAACTGAATAATATTCCATTGTATATATGTGCTACATCTTCTTTATCCATTCATCTGTCGATGGACACTTAGGTTGCTTCCATGTCCTGGCTATTGTAAATAGTGCTGCAATGAACATTGTGGTACATGTTTCTTTTTGAACTATGGTTTTCTCAGGGTATATGCCCAGTAGTGGGATTGCTGGGTCATATGGTAGTTCTATTTTTAGTTTTTTAAGGAACCTCCATACTGTTCTGCACAATGGCTGTATCGATTTACATTCCCACAAACAGTGCAGGAGGGTTCCCTTTTCACCACATCCTTCCCAGCATTTATTGTTTCTAGATTTTTTGATAATGGCCATTCAGACTGGCGTAAGGTGATACTTCATTGTAGTTTTGATTTGCATTTCTGTAATAGTGATGTTAAGTATCTTTTCATGTGCCTTTTGGCCATCTGTATGTCTTGCTTGGTGAAATGTCTATTTAGGTCTTCCACCCATTTTTTTTTTTTTTTTTTTTTGCGGTACGCGGGCCTCTCACTGTTGTGACCTCTCCTGTTGCGGAGCACAGGCTCCGGATGTGCAGGTTCAGCAGCTATGGCTCACGGACCCAGTCGCTCCGCGGCATGTGGGATCTTCCCGGACCGGGGCACGAACCCGTGTCCCCTGCATCAGCAGGCAGACTCTCAACGACTGCGCCACCAGGGAAGCCCCCACCCATTTTTTTTTTTTTTCCCCACCCATTTTTTAACTGTATTGTTTGTTGTTTTGATATTGAACTCCATGAGCTGCTTGTATATTTTGGAGATTAATCCTTTGTTGTTTCATTTGCAAATATTTTCTCCCATTCTGAGGGTTGTCTTTTTGTCTTGTTTATGGTTTCCTTTGCTGTGCAAAAGCTTTTAAGTTTAATTAAGTCCCATTTATTTATTTTTGTTTTTATTTCTGTTACTCTAGGAGGTGGGTCAAAAAAGATCTTGTTGTGGTTTATGTCAAAGAGCGTTTTTTCCTATGTTTTCCTCTAAGAGTTTTATAGTGTCTGGTCTTACATTTAAGTCTTTAATCCTTTTGGAGTTTATTTTTGTGTATGATGTTAAGGAGTGTTCTAATTTCATTCTTTTACATGTAGCTGTCCAGTTTTCCCAGCACCACTTATTGAAGAGGCTGTCTTTTCTCCATTGTATGTTCTTGCCTCTTTTGTCGTGAAGTAACCATTTTAACTATTTCAGGATTAGTTTTCAGTGGTTATCTCCATAATACATTTTTTTTCCAAAGGCAGTTATGCTGTGTCTTCTCAGCTTTAGACATTATCTATGGAGTTTCATTATGAAAGATGATGCTTAAATTCACTTGCACCCCCATAGAGTTATATCCCTATTTTAATTTCTTTTGATTGCCTTATAACTTAAATCTCTATTTCTTGTTCCATAAAGTATAGACAGTATCTCTTGACTCCCCTACCCTCTACTTCCCCATTTCCTTCTTCCGCATTCTATTAAAAGTACTTTTATTTTTATATTTTCAAGATGTACCACATTTATTACATTCTGGTTTTTAGCCATAAATAAGTCTTTGCTTTTTCATAGGTTGATTTATTTCAAAAAGTTGATTTTCATCATTCAAAAAAGAAAATTCCTACCCTTAGCAATCACTCCTATTTCCCCCTCTGCAAAGCCCCTGGTTATCACTAATCTATTTTCTTTCTTCATGGATTTGCCTATTCTGGACATTTCATATAAATGGGATTATACAATTTGTGGTATTTTGTGTCTGGTTTCTATCAGCATAATTTTACTCAAAATTTCTCCATGATGTAGCATGTATCAGTGCTTTGTTCCTTTTTATGCCAGAATAACATTCCATTGTATGGATACACACATTTTGTTTGTCCATTCGTTAGTTAATAGCCATTTGTTTTCCACTTTAGGGCTCTTAAGAATAATGCTACTATCAACATTCATGTACAAGTTTTTGTGTGAACATAAATTTTCATTTCTCTTGAGTATAAACCTAGGAGTGATCTTTTTCTTTTTTGTATTTCCATTTTTTTCTATCTTTATGTTTTAGGTGTGCCTTTTGTAAACAATACACAGGATTTTGTCTTTTATTCAACTGGACAATCTTTGTTTATTAGCCTGGAACATTTATTAATCAGGAAAGCGTAAATGATAACCATGATGAGATATCATTTTATGTAGTAGTGTATTGGTGAGGATATACATCAGTGGGGACACTTATACAGTTGTAGTAAGAGTATAAATGGGCATAATCATTTTGGAAAACAATTGGGCTCTATCTTAAAAATTTGAATAGTCACATACACAGTGATCTAGCAATTCTACTCCTGGGTATATACACAATAGGAATAATACCACTTGAGCAACAAGAAGATAAGAACAGGAATTTTAGAAACAGTGTTACTCGTAATAGCAAAAATCTGGGACCCAAGTATCCATGTTAATTAGAATGGACAGCAAACTGTCTTAGTCATACATTTTGGAGATCATGGTATATCAATACATAAAATGCTTTTCCTTCTTTATGGAGCTGTATAATTTCCCGTGATATGCATGTACTATAATTTATTGGTGGAAAGTTATGTTGTTTCCAATCTTTTGCTGTTATGAAAAACACCATAGTGAATAACTTTGTAATATGTCATTTTACAATTGAAAATATTTACAGTATATATTCTTATGAGTGTGAATGTGGCTCTGTAAGTTTGATAGATATTACTAAAATTCTCTCCATAGAGAATATAACAATATATACTGTCACCTTTAGTGCATGAGAGTACCTTTTCTCCTATGCTGCTGCAAATTTCACTTTTTCCTTTCCAAACTTTATACCTTTCTATTTAATTTTCTTGCATTATTGCATTCCAGTATAATGTTGAATAGAAGTGGTAATTGTGGACATCTTTGACTTCTTGAATTTTGAACAAAATAGTTAAATTAATTGTGAATCAAATTTTTCATTATTACTAATATAATCTGGTGAAAAATCAATACTATTATTTGTAAGACAAAGAGCATTCCATCAAATAGATCTACCATAATTTACATAACCATTCCCCTATTATTATTTTCCTCTCATTTCTGAGATTCACATCACAATCCTCAGTGTTAGATGAGTCCGTTTGCAATTTATTTTACACAAGAGAAAACAATACCAATATATCCCACTTAACTGAATTCCAGCTTGTACATATAGCATTTAGATTAAGCAGATATACCAAGATACCTGCTTATCTTGTATATCCATTATTAAACATTTCCTTATATTGGACACGTAAACCAGTTGCAGTTTTTCATTATTGTGAATTAATAGTAACAAAGGAAGTAGACTTGGCATCAGTTCCCCCCTCTGCCACTTATTAGAGATGAGACCTTAACCAATTGCCCACCTTTTTTAGGGATCGGTTTTCTCATGTGTATTAGAGACAATAAAAGTACCCATGTCATGATATTTTTATGAGAATTATTTAGTGAAATATGGCATGTAAAGTGCATAAAATAGTTTTGGGAACATGGAATGTGTTCAATAAAAAGCTATTATGATCATTGTGGTACTCAGTAAACATTCTGAAACATTACTGTTTTTTTTTTTCCTCTGGTACAATCAGGCCCTTTCTGAGATGGCATCTGTGATTCAGCTATTCAAAATGAAGTTGGTGACTCTGTGACAATGTGGAGAAGTCATGTCAGAAAATGTGGTTTGTACTGGGGCTGTCAATGCTGTAAAGGAAGTTTGGGAGAAAAGAATAAAGAAATACAATGAAGACCTGAAGCGAGAGAAGGAATTTCAACAAAAGTATGCTATAACATGTTTATTATCTTGAATTAGCAAAAATTCATAACATCCTCATTATTAAAAATAGTATTTATTAAATGCCTATTATTGAATTTGATAGAGGTTTCTGTTTACTGAAAACCCAAAATACAACTAAAGGAAGCACCTGACAATTAAGTGTGGCCATGTGATGGGGGCCACAAAAAATACAAGTGTCTGTAAGTGAAAATAGTAGTTGTCCTAGGAGTCTGTTCAACTTCATCAAAGTTTGATTAGTATCATTTAGTCTACTTTTCATAGATTGTTTGTTCAACATTATATTCCCTAGGATCTAAAACAACAACTGGCAGTAGAAGGTACGGTAGATCCTCACCTATTTAAATAGCTGTGAGTTCCAGCCAGGGCCCCTGTGGATCACCTGATTCCTCTATTTGGGCTATACTTAAATAGTTCAGCTCTCACTTCCTCTGCCTCATTGATACCAACCTACCTTCCTCATTGGATATCTCCAAATTATCCTACTACTCTTGCAAGGATAGCCCCTTTCCTCATAGATTCCACGTAGCCCCCTACAATTATCATTTGTTAGGTCTCTTTCTAAACATTAAATGGTCTTGCAATATGTACAAATATCAAGCCATTATGTTGTACATCTAGAACTAATATAATGTTATATGTCAGTTATATCTCATTTTTAAAAATGGTCTTGTGTCAGCAAATAACAGAAAACTCAACTAAAAATGGGTTAAACAATAAGGAAGTCCTGAGGTAAGGCAATTCCAAAGCTTCAACAGTTTTAAAGACTCAGCTTCTTTTTATCAATGTGTCAGTTTGGTCCTCAGGTTAGCTTCTCTCAGTGTCACAGGATGACTGGTATACTTCCAGGCATCACAGCCAGGCATCATTATGTTATCAGAAGAGCAGGAATTATTTATTTCTGTATCTTCTTTAAGAATGAGAAAACCTTTCTGAGGTCTCCATCAAACTTCTCCGTCACCTCTCATTGGCCAGAATTGGGTCATTAGTACACCTCTAATCCAGTTATCTTCCAGGGAAATGAGATTGTATGACTGGTTTAGACAAATTAAGATTTATACTTGGGTAACTTGGAGGAAGTGTAAACACTTAGAAATAACTGGTATTCTCCCAGCAAAGAAGAGGGCTGCCACAGCACTGCACTGAGTCACACATTCAGGCTTTTATCTTGTTGCTCAACTGTGCATAGTCTCCATTCCTTTAGGAATGGACTTTAGTCACCTCATGGCCCCAAATACATAGATACACCAACTGTGGCCAATGTACTTGATTCTAGCCAGCAGGAAGTTGCACACATGACTATTTCTGCTAACATCTCACTACCCAAAGCTTCATATGACCCATACCTAGCTGCAAAGGAGGATGGCTAAATGAAGTCTTGTGCCCAGTTAAATTTAGAGGATCTGTTACTGAGGAAGAAGAAGAGTAACAGATACTGGGGAATGATAAGCAGTCTCTGCCACACATAGGTGATATTATTTTCTCCATTTTAAAGATGGAAAACCTGAAGGATAGGCCTAGGTAACTTGTCAAAGATCACACGGCTAATAAATGTGGAACTGGTATTCACTTGTATTCATACCTAAGCAATGTGACTCAGTAAGCTTATATTCACCTTAGGTCTTAAATTTCCCTAGACTGAAATGTGTAAAACTACTCTTAAGACACATATTATGTTTATATTATACAATTATGACAAACTTGACTCAAGTACTCTTTTTTAAAAAAAATTTATTGAAGTATAGTTGATTTATAATGTTGTGTTAATTTCTACAGTACAGCAAAGTGACTCAGTTATATGTGTATATATATATATATATTTTTTTTCCATTATGGTTTATCACAGGCTATTAAATATAGTTCCCTGTGCTATACAATAGGACCTTGTTGTTTATCCATCCTATATATACTAGTTTGCATCTGCTAATCCCAAACCCCACCCTTGGCAACCACAAGTCTGTTCTCTGTTCTCTATTGACTCGAGTACTCTTTATAAATCCTATCCACTTTTTAAAAAATTGTCATCAGAAATCACAAGTTGGTTCTAAACTCTTGAATTTCACCTGTTATATGTGTCTAGTTAAGAATCATTTAATTTCAGCAGCTTCAAGTTTTCTCTGTACAAAACAGGCAAGGGGTAAAAATGTAATCTAATGCTTCTTCTCTCAGCTAAAAGAGGCTAAAGATTTAGCTCAAAAAGCCTTAAGTTTAAATAGAAATTGTTCTGTCTTTGGATGCCAAGCTGCCTTGAAGAAAGCAAGCACTTGGGTAAGAGTTGGTATAACAACATTGGAGAAAGTCTTTAGGCTATAATACAAAGGTTTGAGAGGAGGTAGAAAATTTCTGTTCAAAACTTTGAAAGAACATCAAGCTTAAATTAAACAGTGTAGGAATTATAGAATACTAGAGCTAGAAGAGACCTTAGATATTATTTAATCCAAACCCCATGTTTTATTGGCAAGGTCCTTAGAGGTGAGATGTCTTGCCCATGGTCACCAAATTAAGTGATACATTCTGGACTTAGATCATAGTAATACAGAGCCAGAAAGAATTAATGAATCATTTAAGAGATGGAAATAAACTTGTTTAATAATAGTTAGCCTCACTCATTAAGGACAGAGCTTTTTGTATCCACAATGTCCAGCATAGTATTTGGCATATAATGGGTGCTTGATGAATTCTTTAATTGAAATTAAACGTTAGGGAATAACACACTTCATTGCCCATCATTAAATCTTGCTCTGAAATACATATATTTCAGTAATAAGTAATTAATAATCATTATGTCTACTGTTTAAATAGTTCTATTTTTATAAAACGTGGTGTAATTGAATAGATGGCAGTATACATTTTGTCTCACTTAACCACACCTGTTGGAAGCTTAGCTGTTCAGTCTAGAAGGCCACACATAGCCATTGCCACAGTGCACTTGTTAGCAGATTAACTTTCAGACAAGCAGTGGATAAAAATACTCAGAATCCATAGAAATGTTTTGCAAACACAAACATATATAGACAGCAAATATTATACTTTTAGAGATATTTGGTTTTCTGTTCATTAAAATAAAATCCTCGGGCTTCCCTGGTGGCGCAGTGGTTGAGAGTCCGCCTGCTGATGCAGGGGACACGGGTTCGTGCCCTGGTCCGGGAAGATCCCATATGCCGTGGAGCGGCTGGGCCCGTGAGCCATGGCTGCTGAGCCTGCGAGTCCGGAGCCTGTGCTCCGCAACGGGAGAGGCTACAACAGTGAGAGGCCCGCGTACCGCAAAACAACAACAACAACAACAACAAAAAACCCCGTGGAACCCGTGTCCCCTGCATCGGCAGGCAGACTCTCAACCACTGCGCCACCAGGGAAGCCCCCAAATGGTTGTTTTTGATGGGTCACTTTTTCATACAAAAGTGAATGCTACCTATGTCATTATCTGTGAACTAAAATGATTTCCTGGTCTCCTAGGCTAGTGCGAATCTGGGAAGAACGAGTGAGCTTAACCAAGCTAAGAGAAAAGGTCACCAGGGAAGATGGAAGGGTCATTTTGAAGATAGAAAATGAGGAATGGAAGGTAAGCTTTATAGAAGTAATATTTGATTTTTTATATTTCGCATTTTGTGGGAGAGTTGAGAGAATGATTCTTAAATTATGTGCTTAAGTCTGGAATAGTTAGGAATTCTAATTTTAATAATGTACCAAATGAATTTGGGCAACATGAACTGAAAATTAATGTAACTTCACAACTTTTTATTGCAAAACTTCAACCAATGTGCTTTAACTCTGCCTAAATTTAAGTCATTTGTAATATTTCTCCCACTAATCCTTCTAATAAGCAATTTCTCATTTTCCGTAAAGAGGTGACCATCTGCTTAACAAAAATCGTGTAGCTTTTTCAAAGCAAATGCTCAACTAAAAGCAGCGGAAGGTGTTTTAAATAAAGCTTTGGCCTTAAAGTAAAAAAAACAGCAAATGCTCAGTTAAAACCTCACAAAATGCAAATGTATATTAATTTTTTTCTTAGGTCCACAACCAAATTCACATTATCTCCTCTTTCTCTCTTTCCCGCTTTCTCTCTCCCTCTCTCTCACACACACACAAACATAGTTGCTTAATTACATTAGGCCTACTCTAAGTTTGACAAGGGCCACCTCTATCCCTTGAGTCAGTGTTTGTTTTCATACATATCAGTATATTTAGCTAGGGGGTTAGCTCCTGTATTTTGTCTTTTGGCTACTTTAGGCTGAAAGGGAAAAGGCATAGAGTTCAGTATAGTTGAAACTTCTAAAATTCTTAAATTAAAAGAAAATCTGCTTTAAAAAACTAAACTATTTCAAAACAGAATGGGAAGAGAAGTTTGAATTGATTAGAATGATCTTTTTGTTTCTCTATAATTTCAATTAGCCACCATATTCTCATGTTCAGTAACATATGTATTCTAGTTAAGCCTAATAAAATAGAATCTTTAGAACACAGCTCTATGTGTGTGCAATATTGACTGAAATATGTTATTTCTGTTTATGTTATTATGATTGGGGTTTGAAGGTTTAGCACCCGCCAAAAAAGGAAAGTTCTTAAAACTTAGAAGTAGCACAAAGTATTTGGAAATATAACCCATTAAAGAAAAAATATTCCTAAGTTCTTTTACAAATCAAATAGTATCTCTACAGTCATATTTCTGTATGTCATGATACTAAAATAATTTAAGTAATATAGTAACTTTCTTTTTTTTTTTACTTGAGTTTAGACCCTCCCTTCTTCTCTACTAAAACTAAATCAGCTACAGGAATGGCAACTTCATAGAACTGGCTTGGTGAAAATTCCAGAGTTCATTGGAAGATTCCAGAACCTTATTGTGTTAGATTTATCTCGAAACACAATTTCAGACATACCTCGAGGAATTGGTAAGGAAAATGGCTTTTATTCCTGTGTTTTTCACTGATAATTTTTTTTGATACATGGAATAAAGATCTCATCTTTATATAGTCCTGAATCTTAAAATTTTAAACATCTAGTCTAAACTGAAGCTTCCAGGGGATTCAAGCTTCTGGATTTACTGAGGTGATTCAAGATGAGATTTCAATGCAAGAGAAGTCTCTTTGGAAATAATATTGTGTAGATTCTGGAAACAATATTGTTGGTTTGGTTATTTCTCCTAGAAGGGAACAAATTGAAGACAAGAAAGAAAATTAGAAATAACTCCTTAAATGAGGAAAAAAAAATCCCCAAATGGAAAACTAGTCAGGATATAGTATAGATAAAACAGAATGAAAAGAATATTTCTGTCTATAGCACTGATAAATCACCAGCTCTTTATCTGAAGAAGGGGCAAGACACACAGTGGGAAAAGGGAAGAGCCTAAGTGTGAATTTGCCAATATGAAACAGGCAAGTAAGTTATGCTCTAATACTTAATAACTGGAAACATTATTTTATATCCCTCTGCTCTTTACTGTGTATTATTTTCCCGTAGGACTGCTCACTAGACTTCAGGAACTGATTCTTAGTTACAACAAAATCAAAACTGTCCCCAAGGAACTAAGTAACTGTGCCAGATTGGAGAAACTTGAACTTGCTGTTAACAGAGATATATGTGATCTTCCACAAGAGGTCAGAATGATATAAATACTTATGATTTTATTTTCCTTCTACTGGTGGTTTACTTCTCCACTGCGTGATCATTAAAAATAACACTAATGGAAAAATGCTATAAATTTTATTTCAGAAAATGTTTAGTGAAAACCATTTCCTATTATTATAAAGCATGTTTTTAATTAGAGAAAGATTTATTTAGCATAAAAAGCTATTTCTATTATTGTTACAGTACTGACATCATTAGTGATCTCCTTGAAGGCCAGAGTGAGAATCTTACTTATTTCACTTCCCAGAATTGAAGGTACAGCCTAGGTTGTAGATGTTACTTAATGCCTTTTGAATGAATAAATGATTATCATAAAGCACAATGTGGTGACAGAAAAACTCTTTTGTTTATTAGTTAGTTTTTATAGGTGATCAGCTTTTGAGATAGAGGTAAAGTAAAAAGACATGAATTCTTCAGTTTAGGAAAAGTGTCTGCTAGCTTCCTAGGCTCTACCAAGTAAAGCAAGGCAGTGGGCTTGGAAAGCCCTCAAACTTTTATTTGGTATGATATCTTGTTCTTGGTAAGACCAAACTGATCATAGAGATATAGACATTCCTATCATTTTTCAAGCATATTTAAGGCTCTTAGAATCAGCAAAGGAAATTTCCATGGTGCTTTGCCTTGAAAACAATGATTTTGCAAGATAAAAGTTAAGAAAAATAATAAAACTCAAAATAAAAGACTATTCCCCTTTCCCACTTTATCTTGGTAAGAATGTCACTTTCCTCCCCAAACCAGTAAACATGCACCAATTATTGTTGCTCTTGCAAGTAAAACATAGTTTCTATAGCTATATCCGTCTGATCTTATAATAGTTCAGTTTAGTGAAATGTATACACTTGATTATGATGAAAATCATGATCACAGGGACAATTTCTTTATACCTAAAAGAGGGCCAATAAACATTTTATTTCTAATTTTTAATTATTGTGATTTTGTTTCTAGCTTTGGTTCTGTCACTAAAAAGCTATGTGAATTTGGGCATGTCTCTTAACCTGTCTTTACCTTAATGTCTTTACTTAAAGAAATACGTTTTACAGGAACAAATAGTGAACTGAAATCTTGAGCCTGGAATTATTTCCAAGTGTGGCCTTTAAGTAGCTGTGAGGCCTTGAACACACCACTTTACATAACTAGGTCTCAATTTTCACATATGCAAAATTAAGACTTAGATTATAATGGTTTTAATATCTTTCTTCAAGCTTTTAAAACCAAAGAGTTCTAGTCCCACTGAGAAATCTGCAACAGGAGACTTAACTCTCAGCCATTAAATTGCACACACTGTAACACACAAATTTATGCTAATGTAAAAACAATCTTTTTATACACTATTCTGAATCATTTGAAAATTTTAAAAGTCTGATGACAAGTTTTGAAAAGTGTTTCATTCATGACGAATTATAAAGCTAGAGAAATATCACCTACTAAATGGAAAACAGCTTTTTTGCATTACCCATAAAACACTGTATTTGTGCATTTTTTGAGGTGTTAAAGTTGTGGAATGAATCTGAATGTGCCCTGAGATAGAAATAAAAGATAGAACTTGCCTAGCTAAATGGAGAGTCTTTTGTAAAAGTTAACTAAATTCTTACATTTTGAAATTTTCACTACAGAGGAAAGAGAAATTTTGCAGCTCTTAGGTCCACGAAAACTTGAGTGCACATCATAGCTCCATCATTTCTAGTCACATGGCTTCTCTAAACCATTTTGTCCATAAAAGGGAAAAAAGGTACTCACCTTGTAAAGTTGATGAATAAACTAGAGCTATATGCATCAATGTGAATACATATAAAGACTGATATTGAGAGAAAAAAGCAAGTTAAAGAAAGATAAGTACAGTATCATCTTTAAATAAAATTCAAAAACATATCAAGATAATTTTGTTTATGAAAAATACACATAATAGTAATATATAGAGAGAACTATATAGAAAACATGTATTTATGTATAGTAATAAAAACATTTAAAAAATGCATGGGAATAATAGATACCAAATTCAGGATAGAGTTATCTTCAAAGAGGAAGAAGGAAGAAGTACATTGAGGGCAGTCATATTGATATATTTGTTTTCTTAAGCTGAGCACACTGGTGGTGTTATATAGTCTTAATAAACGTTTTATTGATGTTTTCATTTTAAAAATAGAATTACCAAACAGTAAATTCTATGACTGAGATAACGTTATGTAAAGCATCAGGCACGGGCTTCCCTGGTGGCACAGTGGTTGAGAGTCCGCCTGCCGATGCAGGGGACATGGGTTCATGCCCCGGTCCGGGAAGATCCCACATGCTGTGGAGCGGCTGGGCCCGTTAGCCATGACCGCTGAGCCTGCGCGTCCGGAGCCTGTGGTCCGCAATGGGAGAGGCCACAACAGTGAGAGGCCCACGTATGGCAAAAAAAAAAAAAAAAAAAAAGCATCAGGCACAAAGAAAGGGGGTTAACAAAAGTAACTATTATTCTGAAGTTTGGGTTTTCCCTAGAAAATCTCAACTACTAGATAAAAGGAAAACATAACATATATTTACTCCCAGAAAGAAAAAAAAAAGCTTCTGCCAGGCAGGTGCTATAAACCCTGGAGCTTGGTTATTTTGGAAGATAAGCTCTCTTTGAATAGATGAACTTTCTATGAGAGAGTTTTTCATTTATCTGGAGGTTATTTAGCATTATTGTTATCTCAAATTTGTTGTGGACTGCTGTGACTAAATAAAGTGCAAGCATCATGTAGACAATCCTTGATGTGACATATCTCTTTACCATTGTGGGTGTTCTAGTAGTTTACGTTGTTGACATTTATTTTGAAAAACCTTGGCTTCCTCTTCAGCTCAGCAACTTGTTAAAGCTTACTCACCTTGATCTGAGTATGAACCACTTTACTACAATCCCTCCTGCTGTGTTGAACATGCCTGCCCTTGAGTGGCTTGATATGGGAAGCAACAGACTTGAACAACTTCCTGATACTGTAGAAAGGTAACATAAATAACTTTTTTTGCTACCAAGAGACGTGTTGAAGCTCTCTATGATAAATAAGAAAGAATAAACAAAACACAGGGGACCCCCAAGCATAATCAATCACAATAGATCCATTTAGTTCCAAATAATGTATGCTACTTTTTAACAGAATATATTCATGTACTCCAAATTTAAAAAAAAAAAAGGGTTTTGAGGAATTCCCTGGTGGTCCAGTGGTTAGGACTCAGCGCTTCCACTGCAGAGGGTTGGGTTTGATCCTTGGTCAGGGCACTAAGATCCCACAAGCCACGTGGTACAGCCAAAAAAAGAAAAGGGGGGGTGGGTTTGGGAGAGAAAAACTGGCTATCTGACTTGAACAAATTGACAAGAATAGGCCACAGCAACAACAACATTGCTTAGTGCATGCCAGGCACTTACTTCTGTGCACTTTAAAAACATTGAGGAAACTAATGTAGAGATGATAGTAAATTGCTCAAGATCAGTTAGTAAGTGTGCCAGTTAGGATTTGAACCCAGGCACCCTGGCCCCAGAGTCCATGCTGTTAACCATTATGCATACTTGCCTTGCCCTAAATAGGCATATTAATAATTTCTGATTTTCCTCTTAAGACTCTAATTCAGATTAGATAGCATTTTAGCAGTTTTTCTGCAAGAAATCCTATGAGAATAGTGAAGAATTCTAGAATACATTGATTTAATTTCTACCACTACATGATGAGAGCTATACGGTAGATAGAGATTAACTCCCTTGTTATAGTTTCCGTAAAATCAGGTAATGTGAAGTCAGTTAACTCAATATGTATACTGGTTAAAGGAGATGTTATACAAGATGACATTTAAAAAAGTTTTGGGTTAATAAGAACCAGGGTTTTCATATTATATGTGATTAATCACAGAAACCTCTTAATTCTTCAGAATGCAAAGTCTACACACATTATGGCTCCAACGGAATAAAATAACATGCTTGCCAGAAACAATCAGCAATATGAAAAATCTGGGTACTCTTGTTCTCAGCAACAATAAACTGAAAGATATTCCAGTGTGCATGGAAGAGATGACCAATCTAAGGTAAAAGTTGTAGACGCAGAACTGACATGTTCCTTTCTGGCTGCAGAACAAAGTAATATAAAGAAATTGTTATTAACAGATTTGAGTTCTCATTCACATAAATGATTACATTTAAAAATCTTTTCCAACCTTGAAATTCTATAATTTATAAATAGGATTAATATAATACTGGTCTAAATTATTCAAGAAAGAATCGTTGAAACTAAAGCTGTACTGGGATTTATCAGCTTTACGGAATGCCCTGTGTTGGTGACATTTTCCTGAAAATCATCTCTATAACTGCTAACAAACTTTATCCACGATACAGTTTTATCCACGATAAACCAAAACCATAAGAATAGTGATTATTTTCCTCCTAAATAACTACAAATGGACAAGGCAGTTATGTTAGAGGTAAATATAACTTTTTACTAAGTTAATTACTAACAGAACTCCCTCAAATAACTTCCAAAACTTAATTTCCTGACAGTGAGCATAAGATGTGAGAATTCACACCAAATCCCACAACTTTCATAACAAAATCATTCATTTACTTATTCAGCAACTACTAAGCCTTGTACTAGATGGTGACGATACAATGATAAATAAGACATGCTTTATAAAATATGCAGAAAATTTAAGTTCATAGCATTAATTGTATATTTGAGATGCATTAGAGTTGCTCTTGGAAGTTAAAGTGTACCACATTAAACATATGCTATGGACTAATAGTTGCTTTTACAAGCTTGGAAAATAAGTTGTCTAAAGCTAATATTTTTTTCTTCTGGGCAAGAAATTTAAAGATTCTTGGGATATATCACATCTCACCAAGATGTTCAGTTACTGAAACCAGTTAAAAAAAAAAGAGTAATTTAGTATATTACCACTTGATCTTTCTCCAGGAAAATAAATGTACACTTCTATGGCACCTATGAAAATACTGTTTTTTGGTGAACTGCTAGGTTTGTCAACTTCCGAGACAACCCACTGAAATTGGAAGTAACACTTCCTCCCGGTGAAAACATAGATGAGGAAGAGGAACGGGAATTATTCGGCCTTCAGTTTATGCACACGTACATACAGGAGTCACGGAGAGCAGGTATGAGATTTGTACATAACACAGGTTAAGAATTCTTTTTAATAGAGGAACGCATATATATATATAAATTCCTTTATAGAATTTTCGTTCCATCTTACCTTTTGTCAAATTCTGGTCTCTTCGTTAATATTGTTGAAGCAAAAAAAAGTGAAATTCTAATCTGTTCACGATTTTGATAAAGGCTTGGAGAGAAAGGTTGTAAAGATACTGAAAATCTTTCAAGTAGAGTCAGGAAATAAACTTCTTTGGTCAAGCACTTGAAGCATGACCAAGTGAATGAAGATGTAATTCTTAAACCTTCACTACCTCATTCTAGCAGTTTGTCATGTCAGTTTACTCATGAACACTACCTTCCCTGCCATTTCCTCTTCGTCTACAATAATCCACAAATAGCAAAAAGAAATATTTTGACTAGGAATGAAAAATATTTTGCTACTGTGCCTAGGAATGAAAAATATCAAGAGAACATAGATTTTAGCCAACAGTTAAAATGTGAGTTTTTGATATATAGATTTCAATCACTTTTATCTCTGATAATTTAGAATTAAAACCTCTTTTTTGTTGTTTTTTTAACTAAGGAAGGAATGACTTTAACTTAACCCAAGATTAGGGGAAGAGGACAAAGAGCATAACTCTCTGTTAATAAAAAAAATAATAGGACTTCCCTGGTGGCGCAGTGGTTAAGAATCCGCCTGCCAATGCAGGGGACATAGGTTCGATCCCTGGTCCAGCAATATCCCACATGCTGCAAAGCCATCGCAATGAGAAGCATGTGCACCGCAAGGAAGAGTAGCCCCCGCTCACTGCAACTAGAGAAAGCCTGTGTGTAGCAACGAAGATCCAACACAGCCAAAAATAAATAAATAAAATATAAATTTTAAAAAAACAGCTTTATAAAAAAAATAAATAGTATAGTAATGGAAAACATGGTTTTATAATTCATTAAAATGTGAAGAATTTTTGAGTTAAAAGGTAGAGTTTAGTTACCTCTTCAAATAGTTACTTTGAAAGAGCAGGTAGAATCTGAGCAAACCGATATGAGAGTATTTTCAGCTGGAGAAAATATTTTTACCAACATCCAATAGAGGTCATTAGATCTGTTGTAGCAAGGTCACAGAAACAGTAACATGGAGGTTAGACTGGAGGAAGATATGTAAAAAAGCTGTAATAGTTTGGGGCCTAGGTTTGAAAAGTAGAGCATAAATATATAAAAGCCAAGTAGGAGACAGAATTGATGACTGAAGATGAAAAGAGGGAGGAGTCCAGGATGAATCTGTTTTTGGTTAGAGCAACTGGATGAATAGTGATGCTGAGATGGGGAAATGAAATATAGAAGCTGGTTTGGTGGTAGCAGTGGAACATGAGCTTCAGTTTTAACAGTAAATTTGATATATCTGTGGGACATGCAGGAAGAGGTAGTTGTGTAGATCAACCTAAAGTTCAAGGAGTTTGCTGAACCTGCAAATTCTGCAGGTTGAGAAACAGCTATAATGCATATCCCATGTATTCACTGTCTCATGTAATCTTAAGGGAAATAAGCAAGGTTGGGGAAAACAATAATCTTGGTACAGCTGGCATGTTGAAGAACAACCTTATCTTCCCATATAGGACTTGGTATCATTGTCAGAAACATTCATTGGGCCACAGGACTCTATCAGTATAATTGTGTGTGTGTGTATGTTTTATGAAATATAACAGAGATAATACCTGTTGTAGCATAGCTTTTATTTCTGGGCGTAAATTGTTGAATGAAGCAAAACAGATTGTATAACACAAATTAGCATTGCCTAACTGAGTAAAATCAGGTTAATTATTGAACGACGTATTATTATCTTCATTTATGTTCTCTTGATTTGGGGGCATGAGTAGCTAATTTAAACAAACTACCTTATTTTAATAATATTTGACATAGAACATATAACAAGAGAAAAAAGGTTACAACTTAAACAGAGATAATAAAACCAAGTCTGCCTATTTCATTAAAAATATTGTTATGAATTACTACTATTAAATACGGTTAATATTTATTGAGTACTTACTCTGTACTTAGAACTGTTCTAAGCATTTTAATGTGTTATTTCATTTAATGCTCATAACAACCTTGTGAGGTATTATTATTATCTTCATCACGCCCATTTTAAGCGGGGAATTGAGGCACAAATAGATCAAGTAGTAGGGTTGGGATTTGAACCTAGGCAGCCTCATAAGACATGTAAGATTAAACTAGTGGTAGAAAGGTCAGAAACTAAAAATGAGCTAGACTTCTAATTTATAATTAAGGTAATCATAGACCTACAAATAATAGTTACCTAAGAATATCATTATAATATCTACAATCAGTAATTCTGTATCTTTGTCTTGGCAAATGTACAATGATTAAGATAATTTTTACAAATAAGGCAGAAATAAACCAAGGATAAGATGAGGAAAAGACTAACAGTCTTACCATATGTTTGGTTTAATGTTTTCTTGTGCATAGAAACTGCTTATGAGCTAAATGAGGCCCGAAAGTGAGGTTTTTGGTATTACTAATTTCTACTTTATTCCAAATTATTTTCCCGAACAGGAGAGAATATATTTGTTCTTGTATATGTAAAAATGACCTTTTAAAAGATATGACACCTAATTAACTTCAGAAGTTATTTGCAAATTTCAATTTAATTTGTAATTAGGCTTTCAAGTATCTTTTTGGAAGTTCTCACTAGATAATTAACTAATTTAAAAAATGAAGTGAAATAGTTTTTTTCCTTGAAAATATCTTTTTAGGGGCTTCCCTGGTGGCGCAGTGGTTGAGAGTCTGCCTGCCGATGCAGGGGATAAGGGTTCGTGCCCCAGTTGGGGAGAATCCCACATGCCCCGGAGCGGCTGGGCCCGTAAGCCATGGCCACTGAGACTGCATGTCCGGAGCCTGTGCTCCACAGCGGGAGAGGCCACAACAGTGAGAGGCCCGCGTACCACACACACACAAAAAAATATATATATATATCTTTTTAGTTTTGGTGTCTGTCATGGACAAATTCTGATAATATTTAAACACAGGTATGGCTCTTGAAATCTGAAGGTGAATTCATTAATTGATTGTGAACATCTCTGAATTTGTTTGCAGTAGAAACAAATAATCACAATTAATTATTCTTTCCAGATCTGCCTGGACAAAAAATGCATACATAAACCAACTTCTCAGATTGGTCCTTATTATAAACTGACAATTGATTATTATACCTTGAACTTGAAAAATAAAAAGTATTAAATAAAACCAAAGGAAAGTAAGTTTCCAAAATTAATGCAAATAGAAAGTTAATGTGCTAGTTACATGTTGACATGTTATGTGTGTTTCAGGTAACCAAGTCAACTGCTCTACTACTTTACCAAACTCTATAAATGCTGATGGATAATATAATTCAAGATGCCCTGCTGAAGAGGATTACTTTGGGAATTTGGTGAATTCTCTAATGTTTGGACTTCTAAAGTAAAAAAACAAAGCCATTACCAAAGTTCAACGAGGCCACATTTTTTAAAGTTCATATTATCTGCTATTTAAATTATATTTTCATGAATATAAAAATACAATTAAAAAAATTTTTTTGGTGGAAGACAGATGTTGTTCAAAATTTCTTTTCCATTAAGCAGTTGTTTCTGGTGATGAAGAATGATTTGGTAAAGCAGTTAACAATACATTTTCCAAAGACACCAGAGGGTCTGTATAGTACTGTAAAGCGGGATTGAATCCTTTCTGCTGTAAATAGTTGATTCGGCCTTGGTCAATCAGCAATTTACAAAGATGCCCTATTTTCTTCTTTTCTTCAACATTAAGAAACCTAAATTGAATAAACACACACAACACATTGTTAAAATTCTGTAAAATCTTATAACAAATTATTTTAGTCTTATTCATTGATAAGCTGCTAAATAACCCACAACATACTATGTGCTATGTCCCATGCTCCCAAGATATGTTTTATTAATGCCACAATTAAAGTGTGTATATTTTAACTTATTCTAAAATTAGTAAAATATATATATATATACTTTTTAGTAAAATATATTTTCATGAATGAATTTTTGGTAATATTCATCTAAAAATAAAGTATAGTAATAATAAATTATTTCTGCCCTAGTGTTGTGCATTTCAAAGCAGTCACTTACCCAGGCAAACTCTCAGTGCTGTCATCTGTGATTCTGTATCCTCCATCATCATGCTCTTCACTGCCATCATTCTGTTTATCTTTTCTTTTTGTGGAGATATTTGAAGCTTCCAAAGATGTTTTTTGCATCCCACAAGTCGCCCAACTACTCATTCGCTGGAAATAGTGGAATTCCACTGCTCCAAGGCCTAGAGCCCTGAAATATTCTTTGCCCACATAATGTCTCCAATCACACCTGTGGTGACAACAGAGTGCAATAACAATGCCAGCCACAGGGGTCCACTTCTCTGGGATATTTTTTTCATTTCCTTCCTTGGCCAAAGTGTTAATTTCTTTTTCTGTTTTATCATTCTTTACGCGTTTGGCTAAAGGTTCTTCATTCCTTTCCTCACAACTGGCAGCATAGGTTTCAACCAAACATCGTAATGCAAGATCTGCAAACACAATTATGTGGCCCCCCAAACCACATCATCTTTAAAAATAAGTATTTTTGACATTTATTAGGCAGTATGGTTTTTAAAAGCCCAACAAAAGCTTACTTAGCTCTATACTTGTACTAATTCTTTCATGTATTATCAACTTTGTTCGTATTTGCCCTTTTCTCATTATTGTACCATTTTCTCTAATGATTTATTCTGCATAAAGTCAACTTCCCCCAAAAAACTGTGTGAAGCTTAAGATCTAAAATTTGTAAAACTTTTTGTCCAACTACTCAAATTTGCTCTCATTTCTCCTACCCTTGTTAAGGAAATGACTTGTATAGAAAAAATTTATGTCTCTACATTTAACATTCCAGGGAAGTTTTGAGCTTAAAGAACCCA